CCTCAGTAACAATTCTGTGTCCCTGAGTAACAATTGTGTCCTAGTAACAATTCTGTGGCCCTCAGTAACAATTCTGTGTCCCTCAGTAACAGTAACAAATCTGTGGCCCTAAGTAACAATTCTGTGGCCCTCAGTAACAATTCTGTGGCCCTAAGTAAGTAACAATTCTGTGGCCCTCAGTAACAATTCTGTGTCCCTGAGTAACAATTCTGTGGCCCTAAGTAACAATTCTGTGGCCCTCAGTAACAATTCTGTGTCCCTCAGTAACAATTCTGTGTCTGTCCCTGAGTAACAATTCTGTGGCCCTAAGTAACGGTTCTGTGGCCCTCAGTAACAATTCTGTGTCCCTGAGTAACAATTCTGTGTCCCTCAGTAACAATTCTGTGTCTGTCCCTGAGTAACGTGTCCCTCAGTAACAATTCTGTGTCCCCTAAGTAACAATTCTGTAACGGTTCTGTGGCCCTCAGTAACAATTCTGTGTCCCTCAGTAACAATTCTGTGTCCCTATTAACTGTTCTGTGTCCCTCAGTAACAATTCTGTGTCCCCTGAGTAACGTTTGTGGCCCTAAGTAACAATTCTGTGGCCCTCAGTAACAATTCTGTGTCCCTCAGTAACAATTCTGTGTCTGTCCCTGAGTAACGTTTTCTGTGGCCCTAAGTAACGGTTCTGTGGCCCTCAGTAACAATTCTGTGTCCCTGAGTAAACAATTCTGTGGCCCTAAGTAACGGTTCTGTGGCCCTCAGTAACAATTCTGTGTCCCTCAGTAACAATTCTGTGTCTGTCCCTGAGTAACAATTCTGTGGCCCTAAGTAACGGTTCTGTGGCCCTCAGTAACAATTCTGTGTCCCTGAGTAACGTTTCTGTGGCCCTAAGTAACGGTTCTGTGGCCCTCAGTAACAATTCTGTGTCCCTGAGTAACAATTCTGTGTCTGTCCCTGAGTAACAATTCTGTGGCCCTAACAATTCTGTGGCCCTAAGTAACAATTCTGTGGCCCTCAGTAACAATTCTGTGTCCCTGAGTAACAATTCTGTGGCCCTAAGTAACGGTTCTGTGTAACAATTCTGTGTCCCTGTAGTAACAATTCTGTGTCCCTGAGTAACAATTTCTGTGGCCCTAAGTAACAATTCTGTGGCCCTCAGTAACAATTCTGTGTCCCTGAGTAACAATTCTGTGGCCCTAAGTAACGGTTCTGTGGCCCTCAGTAACAATTCTGTTCTGTGGCCCTGAGTAACAATTCTGTGTCCCTGAGTAACAATTCTGTGGCCCTAAGTAACAATTCTGTGGCCCTCAGTAACAATTCTGTGTCCCCTGAGTAACAATTCTGTGGCCCTAAGTAACGGTTCTGTGGCCCTCAGTAACAATTCTGTGTCCCTCAGTAACAATTCTGTGTCCCTCCCTGAGTAACAATTCTGTGGCCCTAAGTAACGGTTCTGTGGCCCTCAGTAACAATTCTGTGTCCCTGAGTAACAATTCTGTGGCCCTAAGTAACGGTTCTGTGGCCCCTCAGTAACAATTCTGTGTCCCTGAGTAACAATTCTGTGTCTGTCCCTGAGTAACAATTCTGTGGCCCTAAGTAACAATTCTGTGGCCCTCAGTAACAATTCTGTGTCCCTGAGTAACGTTTCTGTGGCCCTAAGTAACAATTCTGTGTGGCCCTCAGTAACAATTCTGTGTCCCCTGAGTAACAATTCTGTGGCCCTAAGTAACGGTTCTGTGGCCCTCAAGTAACAATTCTGTGGCCCTCAGTAACAATTCTGTGTCCCTGAGTAACGTTTCTGTGGCCCTAAGTAACAATTCTGTGGCCCTCAGTAACAATTCTGTGTCTGTCCCTGAGTAACAATTCTGTGGCCCTAAGTAACGTTTCTGTGGCCCTAAGTAACAATTCTGTGGCCCTCAGTAACAATTCTGTGTCTGTCCCTGAGTAACAATTCTGTGGCCCTAAGTAACGTTTCTGTGGCCCTAAGTAACAATTCTGTGGCCCTCAGTAACAATTCTGTGTCTGTCCCTGAGTAACAATTCTGTGGCCCTAAGTAACGTTTCTGTGGCCCTAAGTAACAATTCTGTGGCCCTAAGTAACGGTTCTGTGTGTGTGGCCCTCAGTAACAATTCTGTGGCCCTCAGTAACAATTCTGTGTCTGTCCCTGAGTAACAATTCTGTGGCCCTAAGTAACGGTTCTGTGGCCCTCAGTAACAATTCTGTGTCCCTGAGTAACAATTCTGTGGCCCTAAGTAACGGTTCTGTGGCCCTGTGGCCCTCAGTAACAATTCTGTGTCCCTGAGTAACAATTCTGTGTCTGTCCCTGAGTAACAATTCTGTGGCCCTAAGTAACAATTCTGTGGCCCTCAGTAACAATTCTGTGTCCCTGAGTAACAATTCTGTGTCCCTGAGTAACAATTCTGTGGCCCTAAGTAACGGTTCTGTGGCCCTCAGTAACAATTCTGTGTCCCTGAGTAACAATTCTGTGGCCCTAAGTAACGTTCTGTGGCCCTCAGTAACAATTCTGTGTCCCTCAGTAACAATTCTGTGTCTGTCCCTGAGTAACAATTCTGTGGCCCTAAGTAACGGTTCTGTGGCCTCAGTAACAATTCTGTGTCCCTGAGTAACGTTTCTGTGGCCCTAAGTAACGGTTCTGTGGCCCTCAGTAACAATTCTGTGTCCCTGAGTAACAATTCTGTGTCCCTGTCCCTGAGTAACAATTCTGTGGCCCTAAGTAACAATTCTGTGGCCCTAAGTAACAATCTGTGGCCCTCAGTAACAATTCTGTGTCCCTGAGTAACGTTTCTGTGGCCCTAAGTAACAATTCTGTGGCCCTCAGTAACAATTCTGTGTCTGTCCCTGAGTAACAATTCTGTGGCCCTAACTAACGTTTCTGTGGCCCTAAGTAACAGTTCTGTGGCCCTCAGTAACAATTCTGTGTCCCTGAGTAACAATTTCTGTGGCCCTAAGTAACAATTCTGTGTGGCCTCAGTAACAATTTCTGTGTCTGTCCCTGAGTAACAATTCTGTGGCCCTAAGTAACTAACGTTTTGTAGCCCTAAGTAACAGTTCTGTGGCCCTCAGTAACAATTCTGTGTCTGTCCCTGAGTAACAATTCTGTGGCCCTAACTAACGTTTCTGTGGCCCTAAGTAACAATTCTGTGGCCCTCAGTAACAATTCTGTGTCTGTCCCTGAGTAACAATTCTGTGGCCCTAACTAACGTTTCTGTGGCCCTAAGTAACAGTTCTGTGGCCCTCAGTAACAATTCTGTGTCCCTGAGTAACAATTCTGTGGCCCTAAGTAACGTTTCTGTGGCCCTAAGTAACAATTCTGTGGCAGTAACAATTCTGTGTCTGTCCCTGAGTAACAATTCTGTGGCCCTAACTAACGTTTCTGTGGCCCTAAGTAACAGTTCTGTGGCCCTCAGTAACAATTCTGTGTCTGTCCCTGAGTAACAATTCTGTGGCCCTAACTAACGTTTCTGTGGCCCTAAGTAACAATTCTCTGGCACTCAGTAACAATTCTGTCTGTCCCTGAGTAACAATTCTGTGGGCCCTAATAACGTTTCTGTGGCCCTAAGTAACAGTTCTGTGGCCCTCAGTAACAATTCTGTGTCTGTCCCTGAGTAACAATTCTGTGGCCCTAACTAACGTTTCTGTGGCCCTAAGTAACAATTCTCTGGCACTCAGTAACAATTCTGTCTGTCCCTGAGTAACAATTCTGTGGCCCTAACTAGCGTTTCTTTGGCCCTAAGTAACGATTCTGTGGCCCTCATTAACAATTCTGTGTCCCTGAGTAATGCTTCTCTGTCCCTAAGTAACGTTTCTCTGTCCCCAAGTAACGTTTCTGTGGCCCTAACTCTGTCCCTAATACAGAGCGGTCTGCCTCTCTTGAATGACTGGAGGCAAATGAAGAATTCTAAAATGGCCGCTATTTATAGCTCGACCATTACACAGTGCTGGCTGGCTGGCTGCTGATTGGCTAATGCGATCACATGTCATTAAGGAATGCATTATGGGTCAGCGCCCGCTCCGTCGCCGCACATGTCCGCCGCCATTTTAGGAAAAATTTCGATTCGCGCGTCCGAAGTAGGCTATTTTTCGGATTCGGCTCACATAGTAAAATTGCCGTCCATCCTCGCTGATCTCCATTCTATGCTGAGACCTTCTCCAAAATGGCCGCTCTGCTCCTTCCGGCCTAGCGTCTGTCGTCACGACCTGACGCGTTTTCGTCACTTCCGACTTCCCTTGTGAAAAAGTCGGAAGTGACGAAACGCGTCAGGGTCGTGACGACAGACGCTAGGCCGGAAGGAGCAGAGCGGCCATTTTGGAGAAGGTCTCAGCATAGAACGGAGATCAGCGAGGATGGACGGCAATTTTACTATGTGAGCTGTTTAATAAATTATGTATACCATTTATACTATTCCACTGAGTCTGCTCCCATTTGTCTTATGAGGAACGGGGATCCCGATGCCCGTCATTTTGTGAGGAGGTGATTCCATTGTCAAGGATAGCATACCCCCAGAGAAGGCAACTGTATGTGGTACAAAGGATGTCCAGTATGCTTTGAAAGTTTAAGGGGTACTTTTGGATTGAAGGGAAGATTTGGATATTGTCACAGTTGGAAGATTGAAGAAGCGAGGATTATTATTTGCACATTTTTTTTAATTTATTTATTTTTGGACTATTTTTGGACTTTTTTTTGTATGTGGGACTTTTTGATGGACATTATGTTAGTAGTATGAGACTACGGGATAGGGTGTATATGTTTGTAGAATATGAAAAGGTAGTTGGTTCATGCTTTCATGTTGTTTAAAAATTCTGAACCTACCATCTGAATGTCGCAGCTGAAATTGAGACTCCTCAGACCAGACAACGTTCTTCCAATCTTCCATTCTCCAATTTTGGAGAATGGAAGATAGCTAATAGGATGGAGAAGAGGTCCCTGCTAAGCTCAGGTGTTTCCAACCCCATTCCTAGGATGCTGAGAAGTTACAAACGCATGATGACTCTCATATGTAGCCAGTACTAGTGCCGTTCTACCTTTTGATGAACTGGCGAGCACCAGCGGCCTAGTTCATCTGTTTTTTTCACATACTAGCTCTGCAGTATCACTTGGTGACGTGGCGAGTCCCATAAGTGCAGTAGAAGCTGGTGCAGTGGCGAGCACAAGTATTGTCCCGCAGCCACCAAGAATTTGCACACAGATCCATAGAGCCCCTAGTATCCTTCTGGATGTGCTTGCAAATCCCGATTGGCAGCCCACAAATTCTGCAGCAACCATACTTCCCCCATTTACTGATCAACCCGGAATTCAGGTGAAAACAGCAAATTTAAATACTCCCCTTGATTTTTTTAAACTGTTTTTCACGGATAATCTGTATGCATTGACTGTGGATCAAAGCAATTTATATGTACAACAGTTTATCGCCCCCAACCCAAATTCAAACCTTGCCAGACCATTCGCATGGAAACCCATTACGGTTTCTGAATTAAAATTTTTTGGGGGCCTAACTCTCAACATTGACATTACTAAAAAAAATGAATTGCGGTTGTATTGGTCCACAGACCCGATTCCTCATATGCCCGTGTTTTTCTGCTGCCGTGACCAGGCATAGATATGAGAGTATAATACGTTTTATGCATTTCAATGACAACACACTCTGTCGTCCTCGGGGTGACCCTGAATTTGACATGGCTCCACAAAATTCGGACCCTCATAAATCACCTTAATCAAAACATTTGCAGATGTCTATACTCCCCAGCAAAACATCTGCGTTGATGAGTCCCTCATTAATTTTTCTGGCCGTCGTGCATTCAATATCTCCCCAGCAAGCGTGCCAGATATGGGGTCAAGATATATAAGACCTGAAAGAGGGCAGCAGGCTATACATACAAGTTTTGGATTTATGAGGGAAAAGATAGTCACGTGGAGTCTCCCCAGATGCCCAGACTACATGGGGAGCAGTGGCAAGATAGTTTGGGACTTGGTGACCTCCTTTTTTCCATATGGGGTACCACTTACAGGTGAAACTCGAAAAATTAGAATATCGTGCAAAAGTTCATTTATTTCAGTAATGCAACTTAAAAGGTGAAACTAATATATGAGATAGACTCATTACATGCAAAGCAAGATAGTTCAAGCCGTGATTTGTCAGAATTGTGATGATTATGGCTTACAGCTCATGAAAACCTCAAATACACAATCTCAGAAAATGAGAATATTGTGAAAAGGTGCAATATTCTCGGCTCAAAGTGTCCCACTCTAATCAGCTAATTAAGCCATAACACCTGCAAAGGGTTCCTGAGCCTTTACATGGTCTATCAGTCTTGTTCAGTAGGAATTACAATCATGGGAAAGACTGCTGACCTGACAGTTGTGCAGAAAACCATCATTGACACCCTCCATAAGGAGGGAAAGCCTCAAAAGGTAATTGCAAAAGATGTTGGATGTTCCCAAAGTGCTGTATCAAAGCACATTAATAGAAAGTTATGTGGAAGGGAAAAGTGTGGAAGAAAAAGGTGCACAAGCAGCAGGGATGACCGCAGCCTGCAGAGGATTGTCAGGAAAAGGCCATTCAAAAGTGTTGGGGACTTTCACAAGGTGTGGACTGAGGCTGGAGTCAGTGCATCAAGAGCCACCACACACAGACGAATCCTGGACATGGGCTTCAAATGTCGTATTCCTCTTGTCAAGCCGCTCCTGAACAACAAACAATGTCAGAAGTGTCTTTCCTGGGCTAAAGAAAAACAGACCTGGTCTGTTGCTCAGTGGTCCAAAGTCCTCTTTTCTGATTAGATCAACTTTTGCATCTCATTTGGAAACCAAGGTATCACGTACCTGGTGCTGGAGGCCAATGGAGAGAGGGCTTCCCTTGCGGCTAAGTTCCGGACTCCCCTGAGAGTGGGACAGCGGGATTCAGGCCTAAAGTTGCGCAGGTCGCCTGTAGGAGTGCTGGTTGGTGGTCCACTCAGGAGCACAGCTGGTGCACGGGGATCGGTCTGCAGACTGGAGGCGCCTGTGCGTGGCATGCAAGCCTTCCGGGATTTGGGTCTTTGCGGGTTAGTCAGTTCGAGCCAAAGTCAGGTACCGGGTGGGAAAAAAAAACAGAACAGACGTGGTCAGGTGGGATAGCTGAGGTCATACACGGAGGAGTGAGAGAGAGAGTATCCTTTAGCCAAGCCAAGGTCAGATCAGGGGTACAGTAGAGCAGACAGGTCCAAGTACAAGCCGGGTCAGAATCAGGAAGTCACAAGCCACAGGAAACCAGAACAAACCACGGGGAGCTAGAGATCATCCAGCTACCAGAGAAAGTGATAAACCTCCTTATAAAGGCCGTCTGGCACCAGGCTGAGGCTGATATGTCCTTCTGCGGCCATATAGAGCATTGGCAGAAATGCTAGATCTTCCAGAACTCCTGCCATAGACAGGATCCTGACACAAAGACTCAGAGTATGGAGGAAGAATGGAGAGGCACACACTGCAAGATGCTTGAAGTCCAGTGTGAAGTTTCCACAGTCTGTGTTGATTTGGGGAGCCATGTCATCTGCTGGTGTTGGTCCACTGTGCTTCATTAAGTCCAGGGTCAACGCAGCCGTCTACCAGGAGATTTTGGAGCACTTCATGCTTTCTTCCACAGACGAGCTTTATGGGGATGTCGACTTGATTTTCCAGCAAGACTTGGCACCTGCCCACACTGCGAAAAGCACCAAAACCTGGTTCAATGACCGTGGGATTACTGTGCTTGATTGGCCAGCAAACTCGCCTGACCTGAACCCCATAGAGAATCTATGGGGCATTACCAAGAGAAAGATGAGAGACATGAGACCGAGCAATGCAGAAGAGCTGAAGGCCGCTATTGAAGCATCCAGGTCTTCCATGACACCTCAGCAGTGCAGTAATTGCTGCAAAAGGCCCAGACCAAGTACTGCCTACATATGAATACTTATGCTTTTCAGAGGTCCGATATTGTTCTATGTACAATCCTTGTTTTATTGATTGCATGTAATATTCTTATTTTCTGAGATTGTGGATTTGGGGTTTTCATTAGCTGTAAGTCATAATCATCACAATGATGACAAATCACGGCTTGAACTATTTTGCTTTGCATGTAATGAGTCTATCTCATATATTAGTTTCACCTTTTAAGTTGCATTACTGAAATAAAATGAACTTTTGCACGATATTCTAATTTTTCGAGTTTTACCTGTATAGATGGACAATTTTTACTCAAGCTTGCCACTATTTAGACATTTGTACAATCTTGGAATTAGTGCATGTGGCACCTTATAACCTAATCGCCAGGGCTTTCCCCCACGGCTTGTAAATACCCGACATAGAAAGGTTGAGGAATTGCTTGCAGTGAAGTGGAAGGACAAATGGGATGTTTTTGTCCTGTTTTTCATTCACACAGACACGATCATCCAAATTGCCACAGCAGCTGGTGTTGTTGAGAAGCCCCTATGTGTCCATGATTATAACTAGAGATGAGCGAAGTATACAAAAATTTGATTCGGCTGATTTGGCGAATTCGCGGAAAAATTCGATTTGAGTCGAATATATTCGCTGCGAATTTAACTTATAAAAAGGGTGTTTCTAGGCTTCAGAGAGCCTTTATATTAGTGCAGAACACTGTAACCTTTAATTTAAATGCCCTTGGAGTCTGCTGGGGAAGAAAAATAATACTGTCAGTCAGTAGGACATGCAGATGAGTGCCGTCGATCTTAGAATCACCGCACACTTCACTCATTTGGGCAGTCACGGGGCCAAAACCAGAGTGTGGAGCCACAGTGTGGCGGTGGAGGCAGCAGCAATGGGAGGCCATACAGCACCCTATGACAAAATGGAACCCACCAGCAGTGTGAGGAGACCTGAAAGTGGCACATGGCAGAGTATGGCGATGGAGACAGCAGCAATGGGAGGCCGTACAGGGACCCATGGGACACTCTGGACACTGGACCTGGCAGCAGCATGAGGAGGCGGTATATAAGGGCCCAATGACAGATAACGGGCCTGGCAGCAGCATGAGGAGTCGGTACGGGGGCCCATGGCAGATTACGGGCCTGGGCAGCAGCAATGGGAGGCCCGTAATCTGCCAGCCACCCTATGACAAAATGGAACCCACCAGCAGTGTGAGGAGACCTGAAAGTGGCACATGGCAGAGTGTGGCGATGGAGACAGAGCAGCAATGGGATGCTGTACAGGGACCCATGAGACACTCTGGACCTGGCAGCAGCATGAGGAGGCGGTACGGGGGCCCATGGCAGATTACGGGCCCTGGCAGCAGCAATGGGAGGCCCGTAATCTGCCAGCACCCAATGACAAAATGGAACCCACCAGCAGCTGTGTGAGGAGACCTGAAAGTGGCACATGGCAGAGTGTGGCGATGGAGACAGCAGCAATGGGAGGCCGTACAGGGACCCATGAGACACTCTGGACCTGGCAGCAGCATGAGGAGGCGGTTAAGGTAAGGGGCCAGTGACAGATTTTACGGGCCTGGGCAGGCAGCATGAGGAGGCGGTACGGGGGCCCATGGCAGATTACGGGCCTGGCAGCAGCAATGGGAGGCCCGTAATCTGCCAGCACCCTATGACAAAATGGAACCCACCAGCAGTGTTGAGGAGACCTGAAAGTGGCACATGGCAGCGTGTGGCGATGGAGACAGCAGCAATGGGAGGCCGTTACAGGGACCCATGAGACACTCTGGACCTGGCAGCAGCATGAGGAGGCGGTACAGGGGCCCCATGACAGATTACGGGCCTGGCCGCAGCATGAGGAGTCCGGGTACGGGGGCCTGGGCCAGATTACGGCCTTGG